GTGTGCCAGCCAGGGCCGGCTCCAGGCACCAGCCTGGCAAGCAGGTGCTTGGGGAGGCCACTCCGGGGAGGGGCGGCACCTCCAGCTATTCGGCAGCAATTCGGCAGACTGTCCCTCACTCCCGCTCGGAGCGAAGGACTTCCTGCTGAATTGCCGCCACAGATCACAATCACGGTCTTTTTTTTTTTTTTTTTTTTTGGCTGCTTGGGGCGGCCAAAACCCTGGAGCCGGCCCTGCTGCCAGCAGGGTCTACATGGGCCAGTTGGTGCACAGCATGTTGGGGTGCTTTAGAAATCACACCTCTCTTCTGCATGTTGCTGTGCCATCTAGACAAGCCCTTTGATCTTACTGTAGGGAATGGTACTTAATAAACTGTTCAAAAGAGGCAGTGTGGTTCTGAAGTGTGAATATAGGACAGGCAGCCAAGAGCTCCTGTGCCCGAATTCTGGCTCTGTTATGTGTGGCAAGTCACCCTTTCTGTCCCTCTGTGTACTTATTTTTTTTTCTATTACCGTAGTGCCTAGAGGCCCAGGATCGGGCCTGCATTGGGCTAGGCCAGGGGTAGGCAACCTATGGCATGCGTGCCAAAGGCGGCATGCGAGCTGATTTTCCTGGCCACAAGTCCGGGGGGTTCTGCATTTTAATTTTAATTCTTAAATATTTTAAAAACCTTATTTACTTTACATACAACATAGTTTACATAGTTTAGTTATATATTATAGGCTTAGAATCATAGAATCATAGAATATCAGGGTTGGAAGGGACCTCAAGAGGTCATCTAGTCCAACCCGCTGCTCAAAGCAGGACCAATTCCCAACTAAATCATCCCAGCCAGGGCTTTGTCAAGCCGGGCCTTAAAAACCTCCAAGGAAGGAGACTCCACCACCTCCCTAGGTAACGCATTCCAGTGCTTCACCACCCTCCTAGTGAAATAGTGTTTCCTAATATCCAACCTGGACCTCCCCCACTGCTTAGAAAGAGACCTTCTAAAAATGTTAAAATGTATTACTGGCACACGAAACATTAAATTAGAGAGAATAAATGAAAACTGGCACACCACCTCTGAAAGGTTGCCGACCCCTGGGCTAGGCACTGTACAAACATCTGTAATTTGAGCGGTTTTGTGAAAGAGTTTTATAAGTATAGGGAGAATTTGGAAACTCAAACAAACCAATAGATGAGGTTAATCTATATTAATATTTCTGGCTGTGAACTCTCCATATATGGGAAAAATCAATTTACCAAAACCCTAAATAAATAAGTGATAAAAATAATTTTTTTTTCTCCAATTGAAAACAAAAATGGGAATGGAAAATAAATGGTTTGTATGAATGAGCAAAAGTGTTAAAAGCACCCGCAGCAAACTTGGAAGGCTAAAGGGACTTTAATTTTCATTTAAAGCAAAATCTAAAAGCTGCATAAATTGAGGATAAAGGTTCAGTAGTAAGAGGTCTTTGTTTGTTTACTAATGCTCTAAATAGCTCATTTCCCCCCACATTTTCATTTAAAATAATCTGAAATGATGGGGAGGGATTTGTTTGAAAGAAGCACAACATACAGCCTAATCTTCCATGGCGCAGATTTACCAACATTATCATAAAAAAGCTGGAGGTTTTCTTTTTGATCTCACTTTTGTGAAAGTCTTGACAAATGAAACAGAAGTGCATTAATAATGGAACTAGAGTGATTTTTCATGTACACGGAAAAAATATACAAAATCCAAATAATGCACATGTTGTTGTCTTTCGCAGTCATAATGATCCATTGGCATCTACAACCCATTCGTTCGGGATACAATTTGTTTATTGGGATTTTTTTGTGTTCCTCTACATTGCATTACTCCCATTGCAAACTGACGCTAATCTAAACGTCAGAACAGATGACTGAAAACTTTGGCTCTGTGAGAAATAAACAGGATGAATGGCAGGGGACCTGTTAGTAATGTCATCTCTCTAAGAAAAGGGTCCTATCTGATCTGATTCCTAAATATGGTAGCATTAGACCAAAAATTGGATTTTGGGATGCTGCTATAATAACCTGCCTCTTGCCCGCTTGGTCTGTTCTTCCTGAGGTAAAAGTTTATGGTTGTTAAGGAAAACACTATAGGACATGGATATAACCTTCCGATAAAGTAATTGACATAGCCAGTATTCTTTCCAAAACAAAGCATCTTTTATTAATGTGTAACTAATAATCCATAATACTGTGGATCCTAAAAATCCTAAACAAAACACACAATCCCTGAGACACATCCCTTATTGCAAGTTAAAGAGCATTCAAACGGCAATAGCATATGGTTTAAATGATTTTAAGCAAAACGACAAGTGGCCAGTTTGCAACAAATCGCTGACAGCAGTTCTTAAATTATACTTTGTTTTACATAAGCGAAATACAATTAAAACACACAAACATTTCAAGCCTACACAAATGGCAAGCTTACTTTATAAATCCGGTTCTACAATGAGCTGTGTGTGATTCTCAGGGGTGACCCTACAGGTACCCCCACAAGCAACGTGGACACCTCACAGATGTGAGAGTCTAGAGACAACACAGAGGACTATATGGTGGATGAGGAGGAGAATGGGAGACAGGCGAGTGGTGGATCCACTCTCTCAGAGAGCCAGGAAATATTTTTAACCCAGGAGCCCTGTGAGTCACAGGACATCATGGTGGCCGACCGTGATGCCAGGGAAGGCACCTCTGGTGAGTATACAGTTACAATCAAAGTCCAGTTAAACTTTAGCAGGCACACACATTTGGTGGTATTGCTTGTTTACTGTGAAGAAAAAGCGAGGTGCTGTGGCTCTCTGCTTACAAGAGGCTGCTCCAGCTACACAGAGGGTGGCCCCCGGAAAAGACTGTTTATGTGGACTGGGATACCCAGGGAATCCTCCCTGGATATCTCTAGGAAACTTTCATGGATGTACTCTGTAATCCTTTGCAGAAGGTTTCTGGGCAGGGCAGTCTTATTTCTTCCACCATGGTAGGACACGTTCCCACGCGACTCCTGAATTAATTCTGCTGGCATCATTGTGGTACATGGGATAGCAGCATAAGGACCAGCATAAGCAGGTCTATTCAGAGAGCCTTGCAGCATCTCCTTCCTTTCCACCTCTGTTACCCTCAGGAGACTGATATCACATAGAGTCGCCTAGGGGAAACGGGGGAAGTTCTCATTAAAAGTGCTCTTAGAAGGGGGAAAAAAAAAAGAGCATGTAGACCCACCCCAACCCTCCACGTTCTGGATCACCAAACCGTGCGGCCGCTAACGTACCTTTACTGTGCTCGGCATGGGTCGGCAAGTAGTTTAAGTGGCTGATAGTGGACTGGGGCCCCACATGAGAGATTCCACAATTTGGGAGTGAAAACGTTCCCCCCCCCCATCTCCGCCCCGTTTGTAAACAGCTTCCCGTGGTGCTATGGAGAGAGGCGATTGTTTGACTAGCTACCTCTGCTCCCAACATGAGCCTGCCATAAACTTCATTAAAAGTGTGGTCACCCATGACTCGGGGGAGGGCCTACTCACCATGGCTGGAACAGCAAAATGGTGCAGTTAACGGTTACGTATTCTGATTATGTTATGGCTTGCACCTAGTGTAATAAGGTTTTTTTTTTTTTTTTTAACGAAAAAAGCCTTGCTATGGAAACATTTTATGCATGTACAATGGTCCCTTTCTTTTTTTGCATGACAGACAGCTGGAAATGTGTCCTTCGGCGTGTCATCAACACCTGAAAGCAGACTTTCGCTGATTAGAAGGAAACAAAAGAGAATGCGGGAGGACATGGTCGTTGAGATAATGAGCGGCTCCGGGACGGCTGACACAGAGCTGAAAGCATGGAGGATTTCACTGTCTGAGAAGATTCTATGATTATGAGGGACCAAACAGACACATTGAGGCATCTGGTTGAACTGCAGATGATCTAGAATGTGGTGTTATGTTACACAGCTGAAAATGTTTCTCCCGTTCCAACTTTACAACCCCTTTTCCCCAAGGCTACTTTTTTTTCTGTTCTTCCTCTTTACTTATGTTTGTTAAAGCAAATGGATTTGAGAAATAAATGCTCTTTATTGAGTAGAAGCAGTGGGATTGGGCGGGGGGTTGGCTTTACAGGACAGTGCATCATGGGATGCTGATGCAATGTTCCCATTTTCCCCTGCGACAATGTTTTGCTAGTGTAGACCAAGCATATGTTAAATGTGTGATTTAGTTTATTTAAAAAAAAATAGTTATAACAGCAATACCCTGAGTGTAGACACCTTTATACCAGTATAACTAACTTATACTGGTATACTTATTCCCCTTCCTGTACAGGAATGACTATACTAGTATGTAACATCTTTGTATTAATATAACTGCGTCCACACTAGGAGGATTGTACTGCTTTAACCAACTCAGTACAGTTAAAACGGTACAATTTTCTAATGCAGACAAGGCCTTAAACGTTGCTACTCTGGAATTACATCTCCAAAACACAGGTTTGGACTGTACTAAAAACTTATATGGGCATAACTATGTTGGTCAGGAGTGTGAGGAATGGTTCTGTCAACATAGCTAATGCAGTTTGGGGAAGTGGTGTTCCTACACTTGTGGACAACCTCCTTCTTTCAGTGTATGCTGCGTCTACACAAGCTGGTTTTCCAGCATAGCTATACTGACATAGGCAGGGTAGTGTAGACATAGCCTGATATATAATCAAGCCCAGTATGTCTGTCTTGAGTACTACAGCATGTTAAAAAAGTGTGTAGAAATCGACTAATTTCCTTTTTTTTTTTAATTCCCAATAAAATGTATTGTTTATTTTATAGGTAGAGTTAACTAATTGTTAATCGTGTCATTGCTGCAAGAGGTAAGGAAAGCAAATAACAATATTAAACCTTTAAAGTTCTCATAGTGGATTAGATTGACTAAGTGGGACTTAGTGTTTTAGGGTGAAGCAGTAGTGTATAAACTGAAGTTGAACCTGTACTTTTCAGTGTGTTATAATAGCTGTAGTAGTATCTGTGCTTGAAGATTAATCTAATGAGCATAACAGACTATAATTGTGCAGATAAAGAAACGGTATCTATCTGGCTTCCCTCTTACCACAGAGGATGACATTAATTAGTATTTTTAATTATGTATTTTCCTTATACAGCACTTTAGCTGTGCATAGCACTTTATATTTAAAAAATTATAGTCCACTTGTCTTGATGATTTTATAATTTAAATTAGACATAAATCTGCAAGGAAAGCCATTAAACAATGAATAGCTAGGAGTGGGGGAAAGGAAGGATGACGTACAAAGGTGTAGATAATGAGAGAAACTTATAATAATATAATATGTGGAGATATACCTATCTCATAGAACTGGAAGGGACCCTGACAGGTCATCAAGTCCAGCCCCCTGCATTCACTAGCAGGATGAAGTACTGATTTTGCCCCAGACCTCTAAGTGGCCCCCTCAAGGATTGAACTCACAACCTTGGGTTTAATAGGCCAATGCTCAAACCACTGAGCTAGCCCTCCCCCCCCAGCTTATTACATGCTGTATGCTTCATGCTAGTTCCAGTTCTTCTGCTTCTTACTAAAGTGGTGTCAAGGGAAAACTTTGGGGGATTTAGGGAAGAATGGGGGTGAAAATCCGCTTTGGAAAGCAAGCTGATCAAAGTCCTCCTCATAATTTCCTTTTTAGGAAGCAAATGGGCGTGCACAGGGTCAGGAAGGATGTTGCAGACATGGTGTGGGTAGCAGAGACAGGGGTCAAAGCTGTTTGCAGGAGGAGATCAAAATAACATCAAGACAGTCTTAATTGGAAGAGTGTCAGTTCTGAATGGGGTGCGGGGGATGAGGGACACCAGGAGATATCGACTGTAGACAGAAGCAGAGAGATGCAGGTCTTTGTGCAGAGTCGGGGGAGGGAGATTAATCTTGTGGTCAAGGAATGGCAGCAGAATCGTTTTTAACAAATGAACTACAGTAGTTGTCTGTGTCTGGCACCCCCCATGAAATAAAGCAGATGTGTTTGAAGTCAATGGTCAGTGTTCATGGAAAAGTAGTTTTTCTATTGAGGTGCCAAAATATGGTCTTGGGTTCCTAACATTAGGCACCCACTTCTGAAAATTTTGGTTTTAGTCTCTTTTCCAAAGAGCTCAGTCTAATTTTAGACATAATTTGATGAGTTACACATAGGACAATAGAATTTGCCATACTGGATCAAACCAGTGGTCTTTCTAGTGTAATATGGTCAGTACCAGTGTTTTCAGAGGGATGTTCTAGAAACCACCTACTATATCAGGGGTGGCCAACCTGAGTCTGAGAAGGAGCCAGAATTTACCAATATACATTGCCAGAGAGCCACAGTAATATGTCAGCAGCCCCCTCTTCAGCTCCCCCCCACCCGGCTCCCAATGCCTCCTGCCCACCAGCAGCCCTGCCAATCAGCGCCTCCCCTTCCCTTCCCATCAGCTGTTCTGTGGCGTGCAGGAGGCTCTGGGGGGGGAGGGGAAGGGGAGGAGCGAGGGCACGGCAGGCTCAGGGGAGGGGGGGGGAAGGGGTGGAGTGGGGCAGGGTTTGTGGCAGAGCCAGGGGTTGAGCAGTGAGCACCCCCCGGCACATTGGGAAGTTGGCACCTGTAGCTTCAGCCCCAGAGTGGGTGCCTATACAAGGAGCCGCATGTGGCTCCGAAGCCACAGATTGGCCACCCCTGCATTATACAGTTGTGGAATAACCTGCCACAAAGTGGTGATTGGTTTCTGCCTTGAACCATGAGGGTTTATATCCTTGTAAAATATGTGTATGTTGTCAAATATAGCTGTGGAGGTCATCATGTTCCATATAAATGTTTAATCTTTCACTAATCCTACTAAGCTTTTGGCCACAGTGGTATCTTGTGGCCATGAGTTCCACAGATCGATTGTGAACCATATAAAGGTAGAGACGCATTTCCTTTTATCATCTCTAAATTGATTCCCTTCCAGTTTCATTTAATGTCCCCTTGTTCTGGTATTATGAGAGGGTGTATCATTCAATATTGTCTATCTCTGTTATGTTCCCATTTACCCAGCTCACTTCTCTAAACTAAAGTTTCTTTCAGTCTCTCCTCATGTACATACCTCTAATCATTTTTGTTGGCAGTCTCAGAAACCCATCTCATTCTGCTAGATCATCTCAGAGATGAGCTAACCAGAACTGAAGACAGTATTCCAGATGAGGGTACATCACTGGGTTACACAATGTCCTCACAATATTTTTTCAGTGCTATAGTTTGATATTTCTTATTCCTTCTAACCATTTTTTCTGTTTTTGATGACCGCTGTACATTTTGCAGAGGTTTTTGTTGAGCTGTCCAGAATGATGACCAGATATGTTTACTGGGTGGTGTGGTGGGGCAGGTTCCTACCTCAGTCAGGAAGGGGTTAGAGAGATCCTCTGGGCACAATCTGTCCCAATCCAGTGCACCTGTGAAAGTCTGGAGTGGGGTGGGTTTCTTAAAAAAAAAAAAAAAAAAAAAAGTGTGGTGGGGGGAGAATGCAAGTCCAATGCAAGGGTTGCACTCAGAGGAAAGCAGAGCTAGAACACAGAGCCTCTCTAGCCCCACAGAGCAGGATCTGCTTACCAGGAAAGCTGCTGAGAAGCCTGGACCCCCTGAAGAGGTAGAAGGATTATCTTTCTTTCTCCTTCTTGGAGCCCAGGGCGCTCCACCTGTGCGCCCCTCAGACACACCGTGATTAGGAGCCCAGAGCCCTTTCACAGAGACTGTTTGCCATTTTGCCTGGCGGATTACAGCAGGGTGAGCCTGGAGTGTTTTGCGGGCTTCAAAATTCTTTTGTTTGCCTTATTCTGGACTGCTGTTCTGCCCACAGGGGGAAGGAACTGCCTCCCTAAGACTTACAGCTGGAGGACTGCACCCCCCACTCTAGACTGGCTCTACAAAGATGTCTAGGTCCAGGGAAGGAGGTCTGGGACAAGAGAGGAGACAGTTGGCTATTGTTAAATTAGAACCTGGGAAGGTGTATGACTAATTCAGGGAAAGGAGGGAAAAAAAGACTATAACAATAACATCACGTGCTTACTTTGCTTTGTTAAGCACTCATGTTGACTTAAAGCAGGACATTTTTAACTTATGCCCATTGGTGGCTGTGAAAAGGACATACCACTAATTTGCAACCACCCCAGTAAAAAGGATAAATTCAGAGGTAGCTGACAGAATAGCCAGGCTTGTCTCAAAGACCTAAAACGCTTCCCCAGCAATGTGTCTCAAGCAAATGTTTGGGAAAACAAAGCTGTGTTCTGTCCTATCAGAAGACTCTAAACATGGGAATTTGTGTTGGGGGTGGGGCAGATGGGATATGCAGCGAATCATGCTGTTTGTAATAAAATATGTGTGTTCAGTAACTACAGCTATCAAATAGGTAAAATTATCCTTATTGGTATATTTAAGAATTATGGCATTATGACCTAATTCACTTGAATTCCTATCTTTTGAAATATATTTCCTAGTTCAGTTTTAAAAGCATTGTGCTTTTTTGGACAGTCACAAAATCTGGAGGTCTGGAATGGTATTTTATAGTTTGCTGTTAAAACGTGGGAGGAATTTATGGGTGCTGGTCTCTAGTTTGTCTTGTTTCAATGGTGCTATTATCAGGAGATTGCTACCTGTCTGGTGAGAAAAAGGAGTATTTTTTTTCTTTTTACAGGAACTGTATTATGCAGTGGAATTCACCCTGCAAGGCAATACAGATCCTGCAGGACACATGGACTTTTAAAACTCGGACTGGCAGCTGCTACAGCATGTGTGAAACTCCCATCGAAATTAATGAGAACTGGGCTCACGGTGTTAGGACAAGAACCTCTAAATGTAGGCAGTATTCTGCAGTAACTAGCTGCCTTTTGGTGGTGAAGCGCAAACAGGCTGCTCTTCATGCTAGCCATCACTCATTCATTTCCTCCTCCCCCCCCCGTTCTTAAAGTGCACCCCCACAGGTCTTTATCTTATTAGCCATGGTGTCCTTTGTAATTTACAAAAGAAAAGTTAGACTGAGAATTCCTAACAGATTTCTTGAATTATCTCTACTTGCCTACTTCA